GCTCGTGGTCCCCAGTAGGCAAGAACTTCATGCACTTTGACTGATGCCAGAAAGCGAATACAGTGGTACCTCGAATAACAAATTTAATTCGTTGCGGCACCATGTTCGTCATGTGAAACGGACGTCATACAAAACGAATGTCCCCATTTAATCACTGTGATGCGCTGTGTTTATTGTGAAATTCCCCCCAGTGTGCATGACATCAAGTGTTCCTAAAAAAATCCTTTTTCTTTGTAAAATGATAAATTCCCTTCCCTGAACATGTCTATGTAAAAATAATTACCAAATTCCACTTACTTTGGCTGTGAGGATGTGGACAAGGTGCGCTGTGACGTCATCAGGGGGTTGATCGCCCGTACATGAATCGCCCAGACACGGTCGCGCTGACCATTCAAGCAAAATGTATTGCCACAAATATATTTTCAATTATTTGTTCTATGTATTTCCAATGCGGTTTTATTTGTTTCTTTTATTGTATATGATGCATATTTGTGACCTTTACAATATGTATACAGTAGAATGTTCATAATGTTCCATGGAACTGTGATACATGTGTCAGTAATGTGTCCAAAATAAATGTTTATTGTCACAATATTACATGGTAAAAATTCACTAAAATTACAATATTTACAGTTTCACATACTATTTACACAGTAACACACTGTATTACTCACCAGTGATGTTTATTGTCTACATAAATGATCTAGCAGTTGGTATACAGAATTATATGAACATGTTTGCTGATGATGCTAAGATAATAGGAAGGATAAGAAACATAGATGATTGTCATGCCCTTCAAGAAGACCTGGACAAAATAAGTACATGGAGCGCCACTTGGCAAATGGAATTTAATGTTAATAAATGCCATGTTATGGAATGTGGAATAGGAGAACATAGACCCCACACAACCTATATATTATGTGAGAAATCTTTAAAGAATTCTGATAAAGAAAGAGATCTAGGGGTGGTTCTAGATAGAAAACTATCACCTGAGGACCACATAAAGAATATTGTGCGAGGAGCCTATGCCACGCTTTCTAACTTCAGAATTGCTTTTAAATACATGGATGGTGATATACTAAAGAAATTGTTCACGACTTTTGTTAGGCCAAAGCTAGAATATGCAGCAGTTGTGTGGTGCCCATATCTTAAGAAGCACATCAACAAACTGGAAAAAGGTGCAAAGACATGCTACTAAGTGGCTCCCAGAACTGAAGGGCAAGAGCTACGAGGAGAGGTTAGAGGCATTAAATATGCCAAAACTAGAAGACAGAAGAAAAAGAGGTGATATGATTACTACATACAAAATAGTAACAGGAATTGATAAAATCGATAGGGAAGATTTCCTGAGACCTGGAACTTTAAGAACAAGAGGTCATAGATATAAACTAGCTAAACACAGATGCCGAAGAAATATAAGAAAATTCACTTTCGCAAACAGAGTGGTAGATGGTTGGAACAAGATAGGGGAGAAGGTGGTGGAGGCCAAGACCGTCAGTAGTTTCAAAGCGTTATATGACAAAGAGTGCTGGGAAGACGGGACACCATGAGCGTAGCTCTCATCCTGTAACTACACTTAGGTAATTACACTTAGGTAATTACTCAGTACTGTACTTTGGAGGTGCATAATAATCAACGAAGTAGTCCATGGTGCACAGCACGACTTCGCTCTCGTTGCACCTGCTACAGATAGATTTTCGCTTCCTGTTTCATCATTCTGTGTGCTTGCAAATAACGCACTCGCGTGCACCCTTGGCTTTAGTACTTGTAGTTTTTTTTTGTTTTCTTTTTCTCTACCACAGACGTGGCCACACATTTACAATGCTAACCAGCATATATACATTTTCTTCTGTCCTCCATGGACAGGGTTAGAGATCAGTTAAACATATAGTTCAGGGATTTATTGAACAATCAACCACAGAAGGTGATTCGGTACTTTTAAAATGCTAAGCTAACCTACATATGTAAATACATAGATACACAGATTTACGTATGCCCTACATAAAGTGATCGAAGTGTCATTAATGTGCATTTACAAAGGTGAAATGCAATTCTGATCAGCTTCCATATGTACTTTATACACATACATATACATACACACATATATATACGTACATATACATATATACATGCATATATACACCTTACCTTGAGGTGCTTCCAGGGCTTAGCGTCCCCGTGGCCTGGTCGTCGACCAGGCCTCCTGGTTGCTGGACTGATCAACCAGGCTGTTAGATGCGGCTGCTCGCAGCCTGTTTATTATTGAAGTTGAATTTGCTGAAATCTCCTCCACCGGGAATCTGGACTGGTTTTGAAGGTCCATTCCCCATGGTTGTCAGAACTTTAATTAAGTTGTGATCTGAGTAACAGGTATTTGTAATCATTATGTTCCCGATCAATTCATCATTATTAGTGAAAATGAGGTCCAGTGTGTTCTCCTTCCTAGTTGGTTTTACTATTTGCTGGTTTAAGGCAAACCTATCGCACATCCGTAGCAGATCATTTGCATGTGCCTGTTCATTTAGGCTACTTCCTGGTATTCTTTCTGATATTACTGTATTAGCCAGGTGCTTCCATCTCAGGTGCTGTAGGTTGAAGTCCCCAAGTAGGATGATGTTCGGAGCTGGATTTGTGAGGTTTTCCAAGCAGTGTTCTATTTTCATTAGTTGGTCTTTAAACTGCTGAGGGTTTGCCTCCGGTGACTTATATACAAGGACAACAACTACATTTAGGATCTCTATTTTGACTACCAGCACTTCCACCATATCATTTGAGGTACATACACACATATACACACATGCATTCACATACATTTGTCTCTTTTACTCTGACAGGGTGAGATAGCTGATAGAGAAACTAGTGTGCAATTAAGCACTTAATCACTGAAGTTGATTAAGGTGCCTTTACAAGCTCAGGTTATATAGTTACATCACATACATACATTGTATAATCGATACATTACATGGTCAATCTTGGGTACAAGTCCAATATATCATCAAGTGTTCCAATACTCATATAGTAATTACACAGTTCAGCATACCTTAGCCCAGGGGGGCAAAAGTCAGTCAATATGGGACATTCTACAATATAATGTTCAAGAGAGTGCATGCTTTCTCTTTCACAAAGTTGACACATTGTGTACTCGACGTTTGGGTTTTGAGAAAGCTGCCAGATACGTCTATATCCCAAGTGTATTCTGGCGACTATAACATCACATTGCCGGGTTCTTGTTCTATTAGTCCCATATGTGAATGTCTCCTCACGATATCTATCATATAATAATAATAGTACTTGTAGGTGGTATGTAGCCAAGCTTGTAAAGCATAAGGTAGTATGGAAACGATTATAGGAAAAGCTCAAATTGTAAGGTAGTCTTGAAAAGATCGCTTTGTAAGGTCCCACACAGGAAGAGATTCAGCTAGCCTCAAAGAGTGTCCGTCAGTCAGAAAGAGATTCAGGTATTATTTAAAAGATCCATGGAAAACACCACCATGGAAGCCGCTAACACTGTTCATCTATACTACTTGTGTAAGATGCATCATCACTGAACGCAGAAAACAATTCATCTATGTATCATCTATATTGGAGATGGCAGAGGTGGGGCTCAGAGCTACAACTGGATACGCTCGCTGTATCATGCTCATAGGTGCTGTATCACTTGCATCCGACCGTTGTGTTAAGACCTTATTGTGCCTAGCTTCACGAATATTATGACCCTTATGTTCTTCAAACAATAAGATCTGAATTTCACTGACTGAGCACAATCTTCCAACACCGTGTCAGACAGGTGTTTGGGAGCCAGAGGCACGTGTGCCACAAATAGTTTCTCACGCAGTACTAACCCAGCCAGCATCCCTAGTCTTTCATATTTGTTATTGCAAAAGGTTGGTTCAGAGTTTGTCGGGTAGGCTGCTCCATTATGACAATTTTTCTTTGTTTCAAATGTGTTCCATTTGTTTTGTATTTGTCACTTACATCTCAATAATGGAGCAGCCTACACAACAAACCTTTATGGCATTTGTCCATTTTTCAAATTGTTTCAACTATTTTTTTATTTTTCGTTTTTTTTTTTTTTATTTAAGAAACATGGAGCAGCCTACCTGTAGACCACCAAACAAACCTTTTTGACATTTGTTCTGGTTTTCAAAATTCTTATTTTTTATTATTTATGTTTATTTATGTAAGAAACATGGAGCAGCCTACCTGCCAACTACCAAATGAACCTTTTGCTATAAGACAAATGAAAAATAAATATTGAACACATTTGAAGAAAGGAAAATGTCATAAAGGTTTGTTCAGTGTATGTAAGGAAGGCTGTTCCATTATTGAGATGTAAATGACAAATACAAAACAAATGGAACACATTTGAAACAAAGAAAGATTGTTATAATGGAGCAGCTTACCTGCCGAACACCGAACGAACCTTTTTGACATTTGTTGTATTTCAGAAATTTCATTTATTTTTTCTACAAAAATGTCAATGCTTTGCAACATCTCAGCAGTCACCCCTTTATATCCCAGCATCATTAGCATCTTTAAACAAAAACAACATAATTCATGTGAATCGTCAGAGGTGTCCAAGAATGTGCAAGAAGCAGCGCGACCCCACCATGTGTTGTTGACGTTACTCAAACGAGCTTTTGCTATACGGGATGATTTGACACTGATCAGGCCATTCGTTATCCAAAATGTTCGCCTTTTGAGGCGATCGTTATGCGAGGTACCACTGTAGTTACATATTAGTCTGAATAGTTCCGGGGAGCCAATGGATTTCACCCAAAAATGGGGTTTCATTATATTCAACGCTTTTTTTTTTTTGTTCATCATTTTTCCTTAACTTGGATCTATGACCTCTTTTTCTTGAAGTTGCCATTTTCAAGCATTCCTCATTGTCAATTTGTCAGTTCCTATTTCTATTTTACTAAATTGAATTTAGTAAAATTCATCATTCTTCTGCTGTAGGATGCACTTGACACAATACTCTCATTTTGTTATTTCAGATAAGTGAAACTGGTGCTGGAAATGTAGCTTCTACCTCGTCTACATCTCATGGGCGGCACACCCAGGAGAACACTACTGCCACTCAGACCGAGTCTAGTGTGTTCTCCCTGACACCACACCAACATGCTGGTCTTAATCATGCTGCCGAATTATCACATAGGTCAAACCATCATGGATCTCGTACATTCAGTTTAACATCATCTACAGGTTCCTCAGTTACACATGGCTCTGCTCATTCCTCACACCTTTCATCACATGCAGTGGCTCATGCCTCTGTTCCATTATCATCTCCACATCCACCTCCTCACATAACTGCTTCTATGTTCCAGTCCTCATCTTCAGGTAGTAGTCAGTGGCAAGTTCCGCTTTCAGCACCATTACCCTCACCCAATGAAAATGGGGCCAGTGTTGAGACTCTGATAGACAATTCTATCAATTCTATGAATGCTCATCAAACTTCTCAGCCAGAATCTTGGGCAGCAAGCCTTAGTAGTGTTGGACAGTTGACAACAGAAAGCTCTGCACCAGCATCACGACCTGACTCTAGAGTGGCAAATAATGCAGGCCAAGCAAATAGTGGAGCTGTAACAGAATGGGAAGAGCCGGAACATGAAGAAGCAATGATGGATGACATTGTTGAACCTACCTTGCCCGTACATGACTTAGCTGAAGCAGACCAGTCCCAAGGTGCTCATTTCTCTCTCTCTTGTCATCTAACTCATTTTTATTTATATATAATACTGACCATCTAATAAAATAGAAACTTTAAACAGACAGTCTGTTATGGTGTTTTTAAGGAAAAAGGTGTTCAAAGTCTGATGCAACATAAAAGAATTCATTATATGCATTCACAAGTGAAGTACTGTACAGTATTATAATTTTATATCATAATGCATCAATAGAATAAGGAACATACTTTAGTTAGACTTCTCCAAATAAAATATCCTTAATTTTCTCCACCTACCTGCTAGACGGTTGACTCATACATGACATAATTTGTTGTTCGAACAAACTTTATTAACAAACCTGTTTACAGATTTCTCAATATAATGTGGAAGTGCTACTGCCAGGAAGTGCATTTAAATTTTTATTTTCAGATGCAGGGGATGCAGCAGAGGGTGACTGGGAAGACTCTCAGGCAGAGGGAATACATGCGGATGGTGCAGGTGCCGTTGGTAATACCAACCCTCAACATTCTGCTTGGATACAGCCTCGAGAAAAGTCCTCTCAGGTTAGTTAGAAGTACAGAATATTTCTGGCATGTCACATGTTTTATTTGTTCCTAAGTCCTGTTGAGAGAAAATCTCATTAAAGCAAGTCATTTATTTTATATACACAATGTGTATACACGAAGGAATGGAAATTTTTGCAGAATCTAAGCTATACAATGCAACTACGCTGTTTTGGGACAGTGGATGCTAGCATTCAGCCAGGCATTGGGTATATCTGGATATACTGTAAAAAAGTCACAATTATATAAAATTTTAGTTGTTTTGCTTGTGTGTGTGTGCAACAATGCAATATGTTTTAGCATATTTAAATGCACACTAGCACGTGCACATACAATCATTCTTGAGACATTCATGTATCAACACATCAAGCAGGCCACAAGAATGAGGGAAGTGGATGTTCCATCAATACTAGATTTAATATTCACCAAGAAAGAAGATGATGTTTGACATCCAGTACCTTTCTTCCTTGGGAAAGAGTGATCATGTCCTGTTGGAAATTAAGTATGATTTGTGATATAATCTAGAAGAGAATGGGGACATTGAAACCATTGATAAACTTGATTTCAAGAGAGGACACTATGGGAAACTTTAACAAATTCTTTAATGAATCTAATTGGAAAGATTTGTTGCTAGGCAAGGAACTAAATGAGATGTATGCCAAATTCTGTGAAATATACGATGAAGGCACAAAAAAATTTATACCAAAACGGAGATGCAGAACCAGAAAACAGGATTGGCTCAACAGAGATTGTGAGAGGGCAAGAGAGGAAAAGACAAGAAAATGGGTATAATATAGGACGAGGCCTAACCTTCAAACATAAAGAAAGCTTCAAACAAAGCGTCACTACAAGCAAGCAAGAAAAAAATACACAACAGTGAGGAGAGTCAGAAAGAAAATTTGATGAAGGGGGTAGCAGGATAATGTAAAACAGATCCAGGCTTTTTCTATAAATTCAATAAAAGCAAGCTGCATGTTAAGGATAAAATCCACAAATTGAGAATGGGGAGCAGGTTCACTGAGAATGAAAAAGAAATGTGTGAAACACTAAATGAACAGTTCTAAAGTGTGTTTGTACAAAATGAGGATTTCAGAAAGTCAAACCCTATGCCAATTCCAGACAACACCATAGAGATATCTCAAGATGAAGTGGAAAAATTACTCAAGGGGCAAGGAAGCAATAAAACAGTTGGACCAGGTAGTTTCACCTTGGGTGCTGCGAAAATGTGCAATTGAGCTGAGCAGGTGACAGTGTGTCACCTGCTCTCTGTACCTGTGTAAATGAGGTCAGGTTCTGGCTATGGTCCCCAGTAGGCCAAAGAGAACTCCATGGCTGGGGTGACCTAATACTGTAGTAGTGCAGCTTTTTCTGTGAGCTTTTCATTTCAGCGAGAAAGAGGCATTACGTGGCAATCAGTGCTGGTTTTTAGTTTTTAACATTCAGCTGTGATGAGGATGGTGCAGCTTTTCTGTGGGGGCCCCGTCGACTCCCTGAAACTATCCAAACTGACATGTGCCATATTAGTTTGCTGTCATCAGTCCCAGGAATTCTGAATGTCTAACGGGAACCACAAGCCAGAACCTGGTCCCCGCTCAGAAAGATGCAGCGAGCAATCGCCATATGAGCATTCTACAGTTTAGAGTATGTCATGTCTGCCATCAACTAGGGAATACCCCCAGAAAGTTAGGCAAAGCAGTACAAACCCCCCAACTGATAAAAATTGCACCCTACGTCCGAACAGAGCTAAATCTCTCCCCCCACCCCCCCCACCCCCCCCCAAAAAAAATGAAATCATCAGTCAACTAGCCCATCCACTCAGGTTGCTCACCCCCCAGTTTGTGACTGATGTGCCTGGTGTCTATATGTCTCCACTGGCCTTGCGTTCCTGTCTGGCTTTTGCCTTTGTGGCTGTGCCAGCTATGTGTTTTGTGTTAGCCAGGTGTTCTCAGTATGCTGGGCTGCATGCATCTAAGGCTGCTTTCCCTAGGTGCCCAGTAAGTACTGTACTTCCCTTGCAATATAGAGTTAACTTCCCTGGGACGTTTGGGTCTCGCTCCCATTTGAGGGCTTCGTTGCTTGGCGTTGTGTTCACCCTTTGGGTACGTCGGGGGGTCTTGGGCTTCCCATCTTGCCCCGGGTAGCGAGTGGGTTTTGCTTGGTAGGGCACCCTGTGGCCAGCGCAGCCTGCATACATGCAGTGGCCGACGGTTCTCTGTGCCAGCCAGGTTGTTTGTGTGTGTTGCTTCTGGGATTTTTGTTTTGTTTTAGCGTGCTTGCTTGTGATTGATGGTGGAGGTCTGCCTAGCTTCCCATTATGCCAGCCTAAGTTGTGTTGGTGGTTCTCCTCTGTTGCCCCAAGGTTTCACGGCAACTACTGGTTTGTCAGTTAGCCTACTAACAGACAGGGTTTACCAGCTTAGCTAGCCGCAGTGCCTGGGCTTCTTATAGGGCTATCGTACCCTACGGGCCCTGAAAAACCTAATTGGGCTCAGGGGGTACCATGGATGCATCTTTTGAGCAATGTCTCGCTTTGTGTGATGCTGAAGGTTGTTCATTGCCCCTGCCTCGTGGTGACTATCACCCTTTGTCATGCTGCCTGTTAAGTCGGTGACACCTACGACCCAGAGTCTTGCGGGATTTGTTCCCTGCTTGTCATTCAGTGGGCGCCTGACAGCTGGATGGACATTGCTTCAGATTCGTAGTCCTGAGGTTCCGGGTTCGATCAACTGTGAAGACCTCATCCAGCCCATCAACCATGAAGAGCTCAGTCCCCCAGAGTACTGTGCTTGCTCCAGTACTTTTTCTCATTCTCAGATGAGACAAGGACACAATCTATAGCACTGTATCATCCTTTGCAGACGACATTAGGATTTGCATGAGAGTAGGCAACATAGAGGACACGGCAAACCTCCAATCAGATGTAGATCAGATCTTTCTATGGGCTACAGAAAATAATATGGTGTTTAATGGAGATAAGTTCCAGCTCATGCACTATGGAAAAAAATGAAAATATAAAAACGGAAACCACGTACAAAACTCGGGCAAATCATAACATAGAACGAAAAGGCAATCTAAAGGATCTGGGTGTACTCATGTCGGAAGATGTTACCTTTAAAGAACACAATAAAGTAGCCGTCACAACTGCAAGAAAAATGACAGGTTGGATAACAAGAACTTTTCACACTATTGATGCTTTACCGATGATTATCTTTTTCAAAATGCTAGTGCTCTCCAGAGTGGAGTACTGCTGCACAATGACAGCCTCTTTCAAAGCTGGAGAAATTGCTGACGTGGAGAGTGTGCAGAGATCCTTTACTGCTAGAATCCACTCGGTAAAACATCTAAACTACTGGGACCTACTAAAGAGCCTAAATCTGTATTCCCTTGAACGAAGGCGGGAGAGATACATAATAATTTACACATGGAAAATGATAGAGGGGCTGGTCCCAAACCTGCACACAGAAATAACATCACATGAGACCAGAAGGCATGGCAGAATGTGCAGAATACCCCCGTTGAAGAGCAAGGTGCAACGAGTACTCTGAGAGAGAACTCTATCAACATCAGAGGCCTGAGACTGTTCAACACGCTTCCACTACACATAAGGGGCATAAATGGCCGACCCCTCACAGTGTTCAAGAGAGAACTGGATAAGCACCTCCAAAGGATACCTGATCAACCAGGCTGTGATTCTTACGTTAGGCTGCGAGCAGCCGCGTCCAACAGCCTTGTTGATCAGTCCAGCAACCAGGTCTGGTCGACGACTGGGTCGCTGGGACGCTGAGCCCTGGAAGCGCCTTAAGGTAACCTCAAGGTAACCCGGTGGAGACAAATAGGCAAAATGTTTCTTTCACCCTGATGCTCCTGTTACCTAGCAATAAATAGGTACCTGGGAGTTAGACAGCTGCTACCGGTTGCTTCCTGGGGGGGGGGATGTAATAAAAAGGAGGCCTGGTTGAGGACCGGGCCGTGGGGACGTTAAGCCCCGAAATCATCTCAAGATATACCCATTTCTTGTCTGAGGATGTTAGGGGTTATCTTGAGATGATTTCCGGGCTTGGCATCTCCACAGCCCTGTCCTCGACCAGGCCTCTTTTTTGTTACACATCCCCAGGAAGCAGCCCGTAGCAGCTGTCTAACTCCCTGGTACCTATTTGCTGCTAGGTGAACAGGAGGATTAGGGTGAAAGAAACTGTCCATTTGTTTCCGCCTCCACCGGGGATCAAACCCGGAACCTCAGGACTACGAATCCAAAGCGCTGTCCACTCTGCTGTCAGGCCCCTAAGGGGTCAGGCAGTGGCTGCGTTGTATGCTAGATTCTCTTTGTTGCAATGAGCCAGATTGGTTGCCCGGTTGGAAGCCCTAGACCTACCACGCTTGGATTTTAGGGACCTGGATTTGGGGCGTTATTTACTGTCCTCACTCATGCTTCCTTTCCAGATGGGTGTTATTGGTTTGCCCTGCTGCTCTTTTTCCCTGCTCCCAGCTCCCACAGGTCTGAGGGTTTCGGAGTCGGGGCATGATTTCGCTCGGGTGGCTTCGGGGACGGCCCCTTCTTATTGGAAGTGGTAGATAACGATTTTCTGTTCCGGTCTCTTTGCGTCTGGTCTTTCTGACGCGGGTGTATCACCACTTGTATGGTGATCAGGTGGCTTCTTTGATGGTGTCCCACCTGTGAGCTTCATCACGGTGACAGAATGAAGTTTCCTGGTGTTCTTTTCGCCATTTTCTGTCTCTTCATAGTTTGTCTTCTATTTCTGATCAGGTTATTTTGTCTTTTCTTTCATGGCTTTTTCAGGACGTGTCATTTGATGCCGAATACTGTTGCCTCGTATCGTGCGGCGCTGGTGGAGCCGCTTCACCTTCGCAGCTTGCACACGGGGATTTTTGAGGTCGAACAGGGTCCTGGCCTCCCATTATTTGGTCAACATTCCTGGTCATTCGTGTGTGGCTTTGGGTCACAGGTTGCAGTCAGTTGTCTTGACTTTGAGTTGAAAAGC